TTTCCACCCTAATAATGCCCACTCAGGGATGGATTGGGCAATCGGGAAATTCCCGATGGGCTGCTTGCTAACGAATTAAAATGAGCTGATAAATTACAGATTGTAATTTTTAAATTCTGAGCGTATCGCGGGAGCTATTGGTTTTACAATGCTGTTTATTTTTCTTCTTTTTTTCTTTGTTCTAGTCTGTGGACACGTTTTTTCCTAGTAAACTTGCTTCGATTTTTAAGTGTAGCAAATTTTCTGAAAGCTCAAATTGTCTAGATGGTACTTCAGAGGTAATTTTCGATACCATTTTTAAATTAAAAGCACTCAAGTGGGAAAAAACGTAGGAAAACGTACAATTTCATTATTTTATAAAAACACGGACGAAGTTTTCTACCAGAAAAAATGAATTAATCGAAAAATCTCAAGATACTTTTTTTGTTGCCTTTTAATTTACTTTCTTATGGTATAATGGCCAAAAATTTTGAGCCACTTCTGAGCTTTTAAGGAATTTTAATTTTGGGGAGGTTTTTGCTATAATTCGGTTATAAACACACATAGAGACTTAAAACTTGACAATAATACTTATATTGAACTTACCTAGACGAGTTAAAATTTCTAAAATCATCGGACGATTTTTTTTTTCTAGAAAACTTTTCTACTAGAAATCTTTTTCGAAGCATTTACATGCAGCACGTTTCCTGAAAGGAAATCGGTATGCGGGGGTACTTTAGGGAGGTCAATTTTCGATTTTCCCAAGAGTTTTCCCAGCAAATGTGAAAAACCGAGGGAAAACATGGGACAACCGGGAAAATCGTAGAAAAAACGTGAAAATCGAATTTAATACTGATTAAACAAATATTATTAAAGAAAATATATAATGCTTATTTTTATTATTTTGTTAACAAGGTGGTGGAGTAAAAAAATTGGAACTTATTAAAATATTTGAACCTACTGAAGGCCTATGTAAGAGCAACTTCATACAATTTGGAACCAATGGATGAAGATGACATTTAATCTAAAATTAGTCTTGAAGCCTAAAAAGTAAATTGCGAGAATTTCAGAAACTGTGTTATTTGTTTTTATAATATTTTACAAAAATTCAATTTGTATTGTGATGCATATTCTAATGCATTTTTAGCATCTAAACGTGTTCTGCTTACACTACCTACTGCACAAGTGTCGTGTGAAATATCTATTTCATTTATGAAAAATATAAAAACAAGGTTTCGCAGTCAACTGTAAGATACCTACTAACTACTAAGTAAGAAGCATTTATGTTAATGGCTATTAAAAAAAAATTAACATTATTAACATCATTATTTAAATATGTTAAAAAGGTTTTTGTATAATAAAAAAAAGGAAAATTATATATTGTTAATTCAATTAATATAATATAATATTATGTATCAATAGAAAAAAATTAAAATAAAATAAAATGATTACAATAATGCCCGTTTCCATAACAACAATGATTATTTAAAACGATTCAAATATTAAATTTTATAATAACAAAAAATAAATAAAAACAATTTTCAATGACAACCGTTTTTTAATCTTTCAATCTTCTTCCACCTAAAGAACCAGGTTTTTCACATTATCTCGAATATGAATGAGAATTTAAAAAAAAAACCTTTTTAAAGTACCACCCAAAGAACATTTCCTTTCAGAAAAGAGGCTATACTTGATAATCGGAAAAAGATTTCTGATAGAAAAAGTCTTCACATAAAATTAATAAAAACATAAAATAATAAACATCATTATAAAACTAATGAAAATTTACACATTGAAAATCTGAAATATAATGTAAAATAATGTTAAATTTTAATTGACTAAAAAAATTGACTTGGGCAATAAGGTGCACTTGCAGGTTGCCCCCGCGCAAATCTCCAAAATATGTGCCGCTTCATATTAATTTGCCCGGGCCGGTCTAAAGTTCCAATCCGTTCCTGTACCTATTCATATATATTTACTTATAATATTATAATTTAGATTATAGGTACTCATATGTGTATGTATTTTAGGATTCTGTTTATACACAACTGATCTAAATAGAAAATCTCAAGAGGGTATAAATTAATTTTTAAGATGCTTTACCAAACACTAGTTCTCCAATTTTTCTGAAGGTTTTATGAAAATCGAATTTTTTTAAATTTTAATAATAAGAATTATTGTTCAAGCACAATCAGTAGATTGTATACTCCCGATCTATTTAAGACGAAGGGATAAAGCCGAGAAATTAAGTCTGTAAGTATTAGTATTTTGCAAATTATACTAACTATCTTATTATCAAAAAAAAAACTTCTAAAGACGTATTTAAATTTGAAATGAAGTTTACTTGTTTACTTAAAATCGATTTCCATATATTTATTATTTCATTTTAGATTATGAGCAGGGTAAGGAATGTATTGATTTTACATTGATGTTTATTTCTTATTCCTGTGAACAATTTGTCTACCAATCATGCTCCGATTTTCTAGTATAGCATCTTTTCCGAAAGGAAATTTTATTTGAGTGGTACAAATGGGGGAAAAACATGGGGTTGAATTTGCAGCACCTAGGATGTCAATAAGATTGTATAACCATTAGGCTATGATAAAAATATTTAAATTTGACAATATTTAGTAATTTAACATAACATGTATAATATCAGCATAATATTAAAACTTCAATAACCTATGCATCTATGTTCAAAACAAAAAATTTAAAAATTAAATTTGTTCCACATTATTTTTTACTCGAAAAATGTTCGTCAAGATTTAATATTAAAATTCCTTTGTAAAAATAAAATACTAGATTAAACTAAAATTTTATTTCTTTGACCACAAAGTAAGACTTATAATGAAAATTTTCAAGTACCTACTCTGTACTTGCAAAATTAAAATGTCTATAAATACCTCCAAAATGGCTTAAATTGTTTGAAAACTTAACCATGTCTAGAAAAGGCAAATTTAAGTCTGCTATCCAAATTTCAAGTTTCTTCGCATATTTATTAGTGAATAACAACAAATAACAAAACTGAAAAAATAATAAAAGCATTATTTTCGTAAATTTCGAGTATTATTCTGGTTTTTCCCAGATATTATGAAAACCGCTTGGAAAATCTAAAAATACCTCTCAAAAGTACCATTTGGACAACATATTATTTCTCAGAAATGGTGCCATGCGTACATATTGAAACAAGATTTCTAATAGAATTTTTGTACCCAGAAAAAAAAAACATCTTGGTAAAACCAATACAATCTTTGCTACACTCAGAATCTAAATACAAAAATTGAGATGTTGACAGTTTTATGCGTAGGGCTATAAAAAACGTTTTTTTCTTTATATTAACCTTTGTTTTTATGGTCAAAATTTTAAATCTTGTAGGATTATATATAATAAAAAATAATATTATTTATTTAAATTTAAACCGGATAAAGCCCAATTACATAAGTATAATTTAAAAATCGTTCTTAATAGTAAGCAGTGTTCGGAACTTCAAGCCTTTTTTTTTGGTTTAAAATATTAAATCTAGTAAACTGCTACCTATGGAAAATTATGTCATGTTACAATGATCTCAAATATAAAAATTAGAAAGTGCTTTTTTTTAGATTATTCGATTGTTTAATTGCTTTTTTCTAATGATTTTTGGTTTTTGCATATCTCTGCTTAATTATGACTCTTGTCACTGACAAATACCTAGACATTTAAGTTAATTTATATGCTTTTTATTTTGTGTTTGTTCACAGTAAAGCTAAAATTAAAAATAAATTAATCGTTATCTAAAATGGAAAATTGAAGAAAACCTTAGATTATCCAATGCATTATAGAAGATAAGAAACATAAAATATTATACAATTTTTTTTTTCTGATAAAACTAATCAATTTCTTCGGTTAAAAAATTGGAAATTTATTTTTCAAAAATATCTATAAGAAATATAATAAAGAAGTTAATATTTTCCCAAAATTCAAAAAAAATTATGATTTTTTGCTTAATTCAGTATTTTTAAGTGCTTATAATGAAGTATTTAAACGCTTTTTTCAGCACTTATTTTCATAATTATAAGTCCTGAACCCAAATAATAAAAAATGATTAAATACAATATCTACATTTATATAATATTAATAATTAAAAAAAAACATTTAGTTAACAATTTAAAAAAAATGTTACAATTCAATGTAAACGAGTTGAAGTTTGGTGAAATTAAAACAATATTGACGTTTACTTTATGGCTAGGTATCATATGCCTATTGTGGGAAGTATTACATGTGTAATTAGGGACCCCTGTGCTAAGATAATACGTGTTACTAGACAAAGTACTTTGAGTAGTTGTATGGAAGTAGTATGGAATAGTAAGAAGTAGTAAAGAAAAGCGACTTCAGAAATCAGGACAGTTGATATTTCCGGTAAAAATCGTATATTCGTATGGTTATGGTATCATATAATAATCATAATAGATTATAATCTATCATAAAACGGGGGAGGGGGCTTACATTTAACTTTGTAATTTCGCTTGTTTGTTGTACCATAACAATATTATGATAGTGATTTTCATGCATAATGTCATAATCTTAATTTATTATAATATGAACTTCAGTACCGTCGCATAAAATCTATGAATAACCATTATAATTTATAATGTATTATGCAATTGTAAAAAGTTTATGTTAGTATATTATTACTATCATGTTATCAATATCGAAATCTTTATCAGCATATTTCATTATTGTCATTTACGCTCTACCCGTACGACCCTACACCGCAGTCTGTTTAGTGTTTATTCATTTATTGTAGTCCGTTAATCTAAAATGTCTGTGATATCGTTTTTATTCAGTTGACATTAACAATAAACATAAACACAAATTATCTCGGTGGTTTTTGTATACAATTTTAAACGTGAAATCGGGTGGATGCTTAAAGCAACTACTTCGTCAACAATAATGCACGAGCGACTATTGACTGAAACTTTGACCAAAGACGAATTACAACTTTTGAGCGAACAACAAGTAGTGATCAAGTGGTGTTATTAACAATGCATACGCCGCTGGTTCTATTGATAATCGGTTTAATCTATGTTAACTCTCAAGATAATCCTATCCATGAAAAGGTATGTGTATTAGTTTCTTGTTCACTATAGCAGCAGCCAGTCTGTTGAAATTATATAAGTGCATATGCATTTTTATTTCAGGAGGACAAAAGTTTGGCCAAGATAAGTCTTGTGCAGTATGAAGGAATCATATTCTTGAACACACTAGACGGTTCTTTTATTGCTGTTGATCAAAGAACCGGGAAAACTTTATGGAACTTTCATGACGGTAAAGAATATATGTTATTAAAACTATGTATTATTTTATATTGTTATTAGATGACAAATAAAATATTTATTTTTGTTTTAGATCCTCCAGTCAAAGTACCATCTAATATTAAAGATGCCCTAACGTAAGTATTATGTTATTTCTTATATTACCCAGTATGTTGGAGTTTTGAAATTAATTTAAAAACAAATCATATTTCTTACAGGCCATTATTCTTGCCAGATCCTAGAGATGGCTCCCTATATTTACTACATAATAAGGATAAAGTAGGAATTAAAAAGTTGGATGTTACTATTCCTCAGTTAGTTGCTAACTCACCATGTAGAAGTTCTGATGGAATATTATTTTCTGGTATTAATCATATTATTATTAAACATTACTATATAATATAAATAAATATATATTATATATATATAATTAAATATCCAGGAAAAAATACAGTTTAGCAACAAAATAGTAGTTTGAAATTGTATGGTACATAGAGCAGTCTTTGACACCTAACCTAATTTTTGGTAATTCTGTGTTTAATAAACTATTTAGGTACAGAAAATCAATTTTATTTTTAGATTTAATCAAGATGCTTTTAAGTTAAAATTGTATTGGTGATAACCAAACTAAACCCAAACTAATAATCTATGACATATTAAATACAAAATTGCCAAAAACTTAGTTATCCTACCCTACCCTTTCATTATTTTTTCTGTATTAAATATTTAAAAAACTAAGATAATGTCACTGTTTGAATAAATTATTATATCCTTGGGTTATATTACAAGTAAATATAATTTTATATATTGTCTATTGTAGTCAATAAAATAATGAAAATTCTCCAATCGGTCTATACTTGCTTATACAAAATGTTTAACTAAAAATAACTCGGTTTTTAATACCTTCTAAAAATCATAAAATTCTTGTTTATTTTTGAGACAGCCATATTTTTATTTTTTTTTTTAAATTTCAATTTAAGCATTCATGTTATTAGGCTTAATCCATTAGATTTAAATTAAATAAATGTATTAGTTATCAAAAAGCTTTTGGCATTAACAAAAATTTTAAAATGTTTAAATACCTAACAAAATTTCAAAAGAATGTCAAATTTGATTGTATTTTTAATCTCTGCATCAAAAATTATTTATTTTTTTTGAAAAACAGTATAGGTGCTAAACTGTATTTATAACCAATATAATTATTTATGTTTCAAAACTGTCTTAAGCTAGTTTAATTAGTATAATATAGATAATATATATATATATCAGTCATTTTTTAAATATCATTCTTAACATATTAATATTACTAGTATTTATTAATTATTTGAAATGGAATTTACCAACCAAATTTATTTTTGAGATTACAATTATTTTATGTTGATCAAAATATAATAAACTGAAACAAAATATATGTATAATAATATAGCTGGTAGAATTCACAATGCATACCTATGTCGGATAATAATATTGAATTCTAGACGATTTGATTCAAAGTTAGTACTGTAAAAAAAAAGTACAAAGTATTGTACTTACAAACCTTTAAAAACTTTATTCTACATTACCTAGAGTAAATTCTGTGCATTACAATTTTCAAGCTGTTAGGTCACTAGTATCTTGCACCCATGCAGTAATAGATTGTCTCCTTGACTACCAAAAGTCATCAGTAACATTTAAGTTTATAATTAAAATTAAAAATTTACTTAGATAAGCACACTAAATTTGATTTTGTATAAAAATATTAAGTTATATTTAATAGGCAAGAAAATTGATAGTTGGTATTTCATTGATTGGAATACTGGTGAAAGACATCCATTTATGAATTTTGAAAAACAAGGAGAAGTATGTACTGCAATTGCTTCAAAATCTATCTTATTGAGTAAATCAGGTAAAAAATACCTAAAATCATAACTAGTTATTTAAGAATGTACTTAGTTAGAATGTTTTAATTTATGTTTAGAATATAGTGTAATGATGGTTGACAGTTTAAACAATAACCAACGCCAATGGAATGTCACATTTTACACCTACAATTCTAAAACTATGACTGAAGAACAGATTTATAACCACGGTATTTAATCTATACACCAATTCTAAATTAAATCTTAAATAATAATACTAAAATGTTTTAAGCTTAATCTTTTTTTTTTTTTCTAGGTTTGAACTACTTTGCTGCTAGTTCATCTGGTAATTTTGCAGTTTTTCTAAATGAAAAATCATCGCCTCCAATTAATTACAATAATTTACTTTGGGAAAGAGAATTTGACTCACCAGTTATTGGGGTTTATCAGCATGATGGCGAGAGTTTACTATCTTTACCACTAACAAGCATTGCTAAAGACTCTATAAAACATTTGATTTCAAACATTGCATTGTCACCAAAGGATCCAAATTCTGTCAGTTATTTGTGAGTAAATTCTAAATAATTTATTCTTAAAAAGAAACTTGTATCAGGCCACTACATATGACAGTTTTAATTAATTTTACATAATAAAGCAGATAAACTCAATTGTTTAAATAATTGAAACTATGGTATTTAGTTATTACATATACATAGATATATATATAAATGTGAAATAAGAATAATCTCTAGAACTGTTCATCCAATTGTCATGTGCTTTTTATCAAGTTATAATTAGCTAATACTCTAGAGCTCTGTCAATAATTTATAACTTATTTGGTAGACACAGGGGGAAACTTTTTTATTACACAGGTAAAGCCAGGTAGGATAGCTAGTATTGTATATATTTTTAGGGTTATTGACATGCAATTCATGAAAAAAATCCCACACAACACTAAATTATGTAAATCCTAAACAAAATCAAAACCTTAGGTAACATAGCAGGATAATTCTTTTATAAACCAGTTATTTTAAGTAAATTGTATTTCTGTTTTTCCAAATATTATAAACTCAATTGCTTAAGCTTTATTTTAACAGCTTTTTCAAGTTTTTTCCTCTAATTCTTATACATTAAATGAGCATTACTTTTGATTTTTAAGCACCCCCCCCCCTCCATTTATAAATTATAAATTCAAAATAATAATATTTTTCTAAAAATGTTGATAAGTAAATTATTAATATTGGATATACTGTTTATGAGTTATGACAGTTAAAAATTTAAATTAGAGGGTACAGGATATGATAATAAATGGATTGTAATTATGGTAATGGATCATGATAAAAGAATCACCCTGTATGTGGTATGTTTGCTAACTAAATAATTCTTTACAGAGAGTAAAGACATTTAATTCACTATTTTGTGTTTGCCATCATACTTAAGTATCATACATATATTTATGAAAAAACATCTGTATAAAGAGTTAATGAGTATTTCCAGTTACACTATGTAGTATATTATATACATTTAGGCCAAATACTTGAAATATTTATAAAAGGCATACTATTTTAAAATATTAAAAGTATCAAAATAAATCATTGTAATTAAAAAATAATTCTAAAGTAGAGCATACAATTTAAATTATGAAAAACACATGCTGAAATTCTCCCCCTCTATTCATTCAACTTTTTTTGGGGGGGGGATTTCACCAAACTGTACCAACTGTGTTTAATTTTATTATTTAAAAAAAATATATATATATATATATAGTAAAGCAAATAGCTTATTTCTGCTTATAATGAAAACATATAAGTACAAAAAAGCTGCAATGTAAAAATGTTATCAAAAAATATGATTTTAGCTATTTTGTATTCAACTAAACTTAACATAGTTACTAACCACGTATAACATAAAACAATTTATAAATATCTATATATATAAATATTTAGTTATTTATATAATTCTTAAATAATTAAATAAACATATTATGTTCACAGCCATACACTCTACATTGGTCATCATATTGATACTGGTTTATATGCTTTACCAGCTATTGCAGACACTGGTGAAGTTAATCCATTAGTAGATAGGGGATTAATTGTTCTATTGGATAAAACTTCTTTTTCAGTATTACCATATTACAGTGGAAATGAATATAATGTAGAACCAAAAAATGTTGAGAATCACACAATATTATTGGGTAGTGTAAATACAAATATATTGTTTTATCAAATGTTTCTTAAAACATAAATCATTTTTTTTTTTTTAGGGCATTACCAGCTGAACCAAGAATTAAATACAGGTACACCGAGAATAACAGGAAATACAGATTCCATAATTTATTATCACAACATGAGTGGATATAACTATAGCAATAAACAAACAAGTACAATATCTACTCAGACTCCTCAATTTTTGGACTCATGGTTTATTGTTCAAATGTTTGGAGAAAATGCTGGAATCAAACTATTTATGGTTTGGATAACACTGTTAATGAGTTTTATGTTCTGGTATCTCAGAAAAGAAGTAAGTCTCAAAAGTTCCTCCATTTAATTCATTATATTTATTAATTTTATTTGAAGATGAAAGGTTTACAGAAGAAACCGATTAACAGTTATAATAGCTCTCAGGGAAGTTCAAGAGGTTCCAATCATTCAAGTAGTAGTTCATCTCAAATTGTCGAAGAATTACATGATGGTAGTTTTTCTATTGGCAAAATTATGTTCCGCACTGATGAAATTTTAGGAAAAGGATGTGAAGGAACATTTGTGTTCAGGTAAATTATTTAAATTATTATGTAATAAAATATAAATATTATTGATTAGTATTTTTTATAGAGGAGAGTTTGAATGTAGACCTGTTGCTGTTAAACGATTGTTGCCAGAGTGCTTTATCGCTGGTGAAAGAGAAGTGCATATTCTCCGAGAGTCTGATTATCATCCAAATGTTGTCCGTTATTATTGTACAGAACAAGACAAACAATTTCGGTATATTGCACTCGAATTATGTGCAGCAACTCTAGAAGTTAGTTGATAATTAGTTTGTTCATCTGATCAAAGAATTGTTCTTAAATGTTTAAATTTTGTTTAGGATTATGTAGAAAAAAATCAATTAAGACATGAAATTAGTCCAAAAGAAATTTTATCTCAGTCAATTAAAGGTCTGCAGCACCTTCATTCACTAGGAATAGGTAAAAAATATTGTAAAATAAGACTTATTTACATATATTATTAATTAACATAATTTAATAGTTCACAGGGACATAAAACCACATAATGTATTATTGTCAATACCATCACGTGGAAATGGTAGTTTTAGTAGTGTTCGAGCACTAATAAGTGATTTTGGGTTATGTAAAAAATTACAGGGTGGTAAAATGTCGTTTTCAAAACGTTCCGGTGTTACTGGAACTGATGGCTGGATAGCACCTGAAATGTTTGCTAATAACGCATCTGTTGTAAGAATATTTTTTTTATTTGATCAATAATTTTTTTAACAATTTTATTTTTTTTTAGACTAAATCTATTGATATTTTTTCAATGGGTTGTTTGTTTTACTATATTCTCAGTGATGGAAAACATCCATTTGGTGAATCATTGTGGCGTCAAGCTAAAATATTGGACAAACGTCAAGTACCTTGGTAAAAATTACAAACAATTTTAAAATATTATTTCATTTAAATTAACATTTATGTATAATATAGTCTTGATGCATTAAATGATAATGAAGTTTGGAAACGTTTGATATCTGTCATGATAAGTCGAAATCCCGAAGATAGACCCACTGCTTCTGCTGTTCGTTATTATCCAGCATTTTGGGACAGCTCTACGTTACTATCTTTTCTTCAAGTATTTATTTTTATTTAAATACATTGCAAGCAATCTCTATATATTTATACTTGTAGGATGTTAGTGATCGTGTCGAAAAAGAACTTTCAACGAGCCCTGTAATGCTTGAACTTGAAAAAGGAGGTGATGGAGTTTTTGGAAGGGATGGCTGGCACGATCAAATTGATCCAGTAATAACTTCAGAATTAAGGAAATACCGAACATACAGAACAGATAGTATAAGGGACTTGTTGAGAGCATTTCGAAATAAAGTTAGTATTACTAACATTAAATAAATATAATAATTCAATTTTGTAATTTATATTATTTTTAGAAACATCATTTTCGAGAACTGTCCTTAGATACTCAGAAATTATTGGGTGATATTCCAGATACATTTTTAGAATATTGGACCACCCGGTTTCCATTACTAGTATACCATACATGGACATCCATGCAATGTTTATCAAATGAAATAACATTTGTTAAATACTTTACTAATTGTTATAAATTTCCTCGTACGGAATTCTCTAATATACCTACTTGGGTGTTCGACCAGCCATTTAGCAGCTTACAAAAATCAGCTATCAGACGACCAAATACAGGTACGAGCTGGCGACACAAAAAACGTGGAAAAACAGTTGAAACTCTTGAAACTTCTGAACATTAATTGTTCAGCTTTCTTAAAAAAAAAAAGGTAAAAAAAATTCATTTTATTTTTATTTTCATTATATTATTTCAAACAAGAGTATACATTTAGTGTTTAATATATTATACACACTATAAATGTTTATATTATAAACATTTATAAAAATCAAAAAATAGTGGTTACGAAAACAAATTAAGAAATATTTAAAATACGTGAACCATAAAACAATTCTGTGATTTTACATTTTTTAAGTTTTTCATAACAATCTTTTTTTATGAGATCAGCTCCTTTTTCAGCTATCATTGCAACAACAGCATTTGTATTGCCACTGGGCATAGAAGGCATTATAGATGCATCAACCACATATAATTTGTTTAATTTATGTACTCTAAAAAAAAAAAAAATTGAAAGTTGATACTGGGAACGGGTACAGCCACTGTTATTGATGTATAGTAGGGAAGGTGGGATACATACAATTATTTAATTTATACTTGTGACAAATGATAATCCATTGATAACAAATAACGATTCGGAGCGAAGTTCGGTTATACATGTTTTGAAAGGACATAATAATTATAAGTTTCTTCAAAATTTGATTTTAACTTATTAATTACCAATTATTAATAAAAATATTTGAGATATTAAAAAACAATTTTCTCTGTCAGCGGCTATGTGTTAAAAGAAACAAAAACTGATTTCTTGTCATTTTTATTTGAGTAATATTTCTGGTAGAAAACATAAGTTGAACATATCCAAACATACGCTCCGAATCTAATAAAACTTAATAAAATTATTTTTATAATAATAACTATAGTGATAGTGATATAAACAAATAATTTTAAGTTAAATTGATTTCAATATAATGTGCCTACCGCAATGAATGGTCCACTACGCTGTTTTCATTGATACTTCCCATTTTACATGTTCCAACAGGATGATAAGAAGTCATTGTCATATGCTTAATATAACATTCCCAATAATTGGTTGATCCAAATTCATGGTTTTTACAACCAGGAAAATGTTTTGTATTAAACTTGGCACCAAATTTTAATAATGCTTTTGTTTTGGTAAATTTATTCACCAATTTCATACCATGAATTAATACATGAATATCCTCTGATTTTTGTAAATAATTTGGTTGAACAATAATTTTATGATTAATATCTAATGTCACATATCCCCTGCTTTTGGGATGTAATAATACAGGTGCTAATGTAATAACTTGATGTTCTATAAGAGGTTGAAAATATTCATCCCATAACTAAAAAAAAAAATAAAAAAAATTCTATTTTATTATTTATCATTAAAAATATTTAGAAACACATACATGATTTTTTAAATTCACATTATTTAAATATACTGCTCCTGCATCGGATGATACACCAAAAGGTAAAAGCATAAATTGTAAATCTGGAGATGATGCAGAACAATTTTTATTATCTGATGGTATTCGTAACAAACCAATTGCTTCACATCCTGGATGTGTCCAAACACCTGAAGATATTTAATTTATTAAGGGCCATTCTTAAAATAAACCATTAGCACCAATTTGCCTAAAACTGGCAAAACCAATACTTTACAGCCCTAAGTTGATTTATTTAAAATTTCATTTGTCAATCTTACCAGTTCCTTTAAAGAAATATTTGTAAATATTTATTGGTGAAACAAAGTCGTTAAAAGATAATCCCAATGTATTTGCTAATGTTATCATATCTAATCCAGTAATTATGTGATCTTGTAAGTTTTCTCCCACTTCTAAATCAGCAATCACTGGAATCTATACACAGATATTAATAACTAAATTTTTAAAACGTACTAATGTTTAATAGTTTTATAGTAAAGGTTTACTTTCAGTGGTGTAAGTTTACGTGTTGGACCTATACCACTCAACATTAGAATTTTTGGTGTATTCAATGTTCCTGCTGATATGACCACAGATTTTAATGCGTAAACTTTGAAAACACGATTAAATTTATTATATTCCACTCCATTTGCTTCATAATTGTTTTTAAACAGCACCTACTTTAATTAAAAGATAATAATACTATTTGATATTAAAACTATAGGTCTGGTGCCAGTTTCCAAATTTTCTTCAATTTTGTAATTAAAATTATTTTCAATATTTTATTAATGGTCACCTTAAAGATAAGACTTTTCCACCTATACCCATTTAAGGAGAAGAGGTATGGTCAGTTTTTTTTGACGAAAATGACTTCCTAGGAATATTGTCAACATAAATATACTTAAATTGATAAACATTCTACAAACCACATTAAACTTAGATTTTTCATTTGATTTCAAAAAATGGTTCAAACTAAAAAAAGTTCAAAGCAATTTGTAGTAAGTCTTCCTTTTCTATCCAAAAAATAATCATTTAAATCAGACTAATCTACAAAGTATGAGAGTTTTCCCTGTAAGGCATATTTTTGAGCTGAAAACTGTTGGCAAATGGCCCTTTAATGAAATAAAACTGTATTTGTATATCACCTTTGTAACTTGTGCATTTGTGAGGATGGTTAAATTTTTTTTTCTTTTTGTTTTTAAATATAGATGTTCAGCACTTAATCTAGCACCTGCTCTTATTGTCACTGGTGTCAATGAAAAACTTCCGCCATCTTGTCTAGATAATTGAAAATTATCATTGTTCATATTTAATGATGTATTATAGCCCAATTCGTTAGCAGCTTCAAGTATGGCTGCTGCAATTGGTGTCACGTGTGCTGGTTGATGACTGAAGAATTGTTTTTTATTGGGTGATCCTGGTTGTAGGATTTTTATATTTTATTATTATTTTTATTATATGTTGTGGATTTTTATCATTTGTTTGTATAAAATCAAATGCTTAGTGATAAGTTACCAAGTAAGCCTTACTACTGTTGTATATTTTTTTAATATATGTATAATTAATGTTATAAGTACCAGAGTTTTCATATTTTTTGAAATAGTAAAGAACATCTTCTTTAGTCCATTCATGTCCAGATTGCCATGATAAATAATCAGTAGAAATATGCCCTCTTAAATGAATATTGAAATTGATGCGACTACTGCCACCCAAGACTTTTCCTGTAGGCCATTGACTAGACTTGAAACAAGAAATCATAAATTGTTTAGACCAGTTTAAAATTAATGATAATGATAATTTAAAGATTTATTATTTCTTTAATGTGGTAATTAATTTGTATTCCATACATTATTTTTCATTGCGAAACATGCATTGAATTGTGATTCGGTTTGGTGTTGCCAATCGATTACCGATTTTTGAAAAATTGATGTGATAATAGGTATATCATGTAAAAATGATATTTGAGGTCCAGCTTCTATTAATAAAACGCGATGAGCTTTATTTTCTGCTAAACGTGAAGCTACAATAATGCCTGCTGTTCCTCCTCCAACTAAAATGTTCATTAAATACAGATGTATTACTAACAAAATTAGTCAGTAGGTTTCCATGTATCCCATGAAAATTTAAAAATAAAATACAATTCATTTTTATTTGTTCAATGTTTAAAAAATTCTATTATTAAATCCTATTATTTTTTGGAAAATAGTAATAAGTAATCAACTTTATAATTGTTTATACCATATATTACATTACCTATTACTAGTTACTAGTACAGTTTTGTTGTTTATGTTTTGAAATCTGAATTGAATATTCGTATTGTATATGTTGATCGGGATTAAATATGTATAGGTAATTATTATTAATATCGATGAAATTTAAATATCTAATAAAAAAGAAAATAAGTAGGTACCTAGTTATAATATATATTAAATAACATAATAATACTTATACACATACTTAAAACATATTAAATTGAATATTTTTTTTTAGCATATTCATTTTAATACCCAAGATTATGATTTTAAAATATTTTATACTATTATTACAATTAATAAGATGGAATATTTTGTCATGTATTATTTGATAATTTTTAATTACCTATATATATATATATATATATATATTTAAGAATAAAAAGTGTTGTCAAAATTATTTGATTTTCATTTGCTTTAGTAATTTGAACTTTGCTAAGTAATAAAAACAACAAAACATTTATAAATATTTTAACGTTTTAGGCTAGTTACTTATAGTCTCAATATGTATTAGCCATTGTTCCACATAGATCACACAGTCCTTAACAGTATTAAGTAAGTATTAATGTTTTTGTGAAGCCTTTGAAATTATAAAAAACCTAGAGTTAAGTTACATAATTACGTATAGGTAACTAATGATAACTACTTATTTTATATTCTTGGTAGTACTTTTTCCAAAAAAATTATCTACATCCACCTTTTGGTGCCCCCTGTTCTGGTTTGGTATCATTTCAACTAATGCACATAGTATATTTGGACAAAACAAAAGTATTTTTTAGAAGCTATTTATTCCTGTATCCAAGAAATTTTAAATAGAAAATGTATTAATTTAAAATTATATACATATACTTAAACAAAAAAAAAAAAATTTATTCTAATATTTTATACTTAACTACTACCATCTAAATACAATTAAAATTTTAAAAATACCTCTTTCAATCAACATCAGCATTGTAATTAGTAATTACTAAATTCTTTTTTTTTTTTTTTTTTAGTACGTATTGTAAGCTTTTTTATTACATATTTAAATATATAACTACGATATTTGTTGGTCAGTAAAATTTTGTAAAAAAAGTGCAATTTATAAAATATTTTTCTAGGGATAGGTACCTAAATTAATTAATTAATTGATCATATAATTCTACTTTTTATTTATCATTTAGAACTATATTGTTTAATAAAGTAGGTGGTTTTGAGTAATTATTTTATACTTATATACCTTCAAAATCAATATTATTTATAGAATTTTAAAACACTGGCTACAAGATAATCATAGTATCCTACAGAAACTGATAAGTTTTCGTTTGTTTAATGTACACATGTTTTTGTTGAGATTAATTTTTTTATAATTTTCTGCTGTGTACCTCATTTGGTCGTTATTTCCACAGCTAAATAACGTTATTGTTTAATCATGATTATTTCATGATGGTGGTATGGCGGCCAAAATTTAAGTATATATAAATAAACTTTTTTTTTTTTTTATTTCTCTAAAATCTAAACAACTATCTCGCACATTAATTTATAAAACATAATATTTTTTATACTTGTAAAATGAGTTATAATACTTTATTTAATTATAAAATTATAGCACTCATATTTAATTTATAAAAAAAATTTAATATTATTTACCAACAATGTGATCGAAATATTTGTTTTCAACGTGATCATCTTTTACGTACTTGTCCAGAATTATATTTAAATAATAATCGGTAAATAAATACAACGTCAAAACGTTCGCTAGCAAAGTGTAAAGTACGAACATTAACTGATAGTATGAACACATATTTATATTATTAATAGGTTAACAATTGACTAATTCCTCATGCATAAAAATGGCTTGTAAGGCTAAAAAAAAGTACGGTTTGGGTGAATTATTTATATAATATTCAGTGTGAAAATTAAATTAATCCTTCGACTTCAGAGCGGAAAAAAAAAAAAAAAAGGAGACAAACATAAACACGCAGATGAAAGAAACGACCAGTACTCCAATACTTCTAAACAGGACGGCACGCACCACCGTACTAATGTACCGCGGACCAATTACTAATTAGTGACGGGCGGCGACGAATAATAACTATCAAATAATATTATTCGTTACCGAAATACGCAAAATAATTCCGAAAATGCACAATTTTCATTAATCCGGATAATCTTATTCGTCGTTCCAGTAACGCTTTACAATCTTTTTTCCACGATTGCTACTATCGATAAGCGGTACACGACTTGGGGCGTGTTCACACTCACCGATACCATCGATACTGTCGGTCGAAATAAAATCGTGTGGTTTTAAATGGACGGTTTTCGTATTGACACCGATCCGATAAAACGTCGTTCCAATGCGGCGATACCGGCGCGCATATCGGACAGACGACCAGTACCGGACGATATTCTTATCGTTCCGGTATCAATGACCAATGGTCGGTTTTCGCAAATGACCGATAATATCGTTGTGTGTAAATAGTTTTATCGATTTTCATTCGTTTGTTCATCGTTTTGATGGCAAGGAATAAATATGAGCGCGTGGTAGATACAAATATAATTATTCAACGTTTGTTTTATTGATGTTATTATTAAAATGAGTTTTCCAAACATTAATTTAATTAATTCAGAAAAATATTCATTCAAATTAGGTACGTGGGTTATACGAACTACGAACAAGTATTTTACGAAACAGTGTACACGTACGGAATGAGTAGGAAAATCGGTTATCAGGGGATATCGTTCCCCGCCGCCGACGACAATATCGGTCGATAACATCGTTGAGTGTGAACACGCCCTTTGACCGTGGACTATGGATGTCTGTGAAGATAGCTCCATTATAGTTGGCTCGTTCACCACTGATAAGAAAATGGTCACTGTCGTGTCAATTATGTTGCTTTCACCATAATAATACAGGCGTAATTTAAGATGTTTTAATTTCTAACAAATAGATTCATATTATAATAACCACTTGAATATTTTTTCCGAATACTGTTCTTCAAGGTTGACATGGGAAAAAAAAATAAATTTAATATGATCATGAAGTATGAATAAAGTAAAGTTACAACACAAAACCAATTATTTTGACGAATGCATACTTTGCGTACGACAGGCAATAGGCATTCGAACCACAGATTATTTTAATAAATATTGAAGTACATAGAAAATCAGTCGTAAAAGGATCTTAATTCCTAAAAAAAAAACATAAATTTACGTGAATATAAATTACATGGTAATACGTTTCAAATTTATTCTACGCGTAGAATCTACTATAGAAGTTACTGTTACCGCGGTTTCTGCGTGTATACGAAATGCACTGGATTTCGAATCGATTTTTGACGTTGATCCTGAAAATGTATGCATATATCTCATGCATTTATGCACTGATTATCATTAAAATATGCAAACAAAAATGATTAAAACAACTAATCCCGACCGAAATATCTTTATCTATAAATATTTAGATAATATAAGAAAACAAATTCCTTACGAACCATAGGTATATGTGGTTAAAACCAACGAACAATAGTAAAATAAATGGGTTTGAAACGCTTAGCTATTTGACTATAATGCAATGAAAAATCTTAAAATACAGAAATATGCAGTACACATCAAAAAATTACTAAATATGTAAAAGTATAATTCAAACTTGCTGAGTAGATATACACAATATTTAAGTTGTTGAGTTCAATAAACGTTGACACTTTATTAAATTTTAAATTGGCAAATAAAAAAAATGATTTTTATAAATTTATTGGGAAATTTGCCCCTGGTGGTTTCTACATAGTTGGGGAATCAAGGATTGATGGTGAAAAGAGCGAGTCTCATATTGTCTTCTAGAGTTATTTTTGTGAGTCTTTGACGTTTTTTTCGTTTTAATATTTGTGATTTCACTAAATCCATGCTCACATAGCCAGGATGTAGAAAGTGAAGGAGCACTTCTGGCCTTCAGCCTTTGTCGATAATCGATGGTATTCATTGTGAAAAACCACCCAAAAGCTGTTAAGCAATACTTTTTTAAATTTAAGTTGGAGGGTTCGGTCGTTTATCAGTTTCACTTTCTGTTGTACCTTATAGTGATCTGTTTGTATCATGGATGTAAAAGGGTTTTCGAATCCAGTTGTAATGTTCTACATTTAAGTCTGGAAAATAATGTTTCAAGGACATTTGAAAAGCCTGTAAGTGGTTTCTTATGATTTCCAGAACGGCAGGACTGGAGTTTTCTTGGCTCGTAAACATTGGAAACATAGCTATGTTCCCTCAAAGTTTGCACACCACACGGAGATTTTCATTAATAAGTAATAACAAAAAGTAAAATACACGAGCTATAAAGCGGAGGCCACACAGAACGCTACGCTACCTACGTATACTACGTACGATATTTACTACTAGTCACACTAAACAGTTATCAGTTATGTTCAAGACGTTGTCAGGTACGTTGCCTTGGGAAAGTGATAGCAGTGATGATGAAGCTTTGTTATTATTTTCGTTAAATAATAATAATAAACAAAAAAGGAAATTGGTCCATGGAACGTAAAAAGTTTGGTGAATTTCATCATCTTTTAAAACAACTACGAAAATATGAATTAAAATTTAAAGAATATTTCCGTATGATTTTTTCCTCCAGAGACAAGGGTACCTGCGTACTTCCTTTATTAGCTCCTCTAGTAACATCACTTCGAAAAAATAACGTAGCACTCACGAAAATTAACAAAATAGAATTTATTTTCGTTAAACTGATGTTAAAACTGCATGCGTTAAAAATTTATGATCGACTGTTGTTTCAGAAATTCTCCGTCGTCGTAATCGGCTTTCCACAAAATGAGAGACAAGAGTCAATACGGATAGCGCAGGTCGCCAAAAACGTCGCGACACATCGCTCAAAAATATAGCCGCAAATCAAACACTCGGCGACGCGTCGCAACGTAGCTAAGAACAAAACGTAGGGTACACTATTCTGTGTGGCCATTTACGTCTTCAAGACAGAATACTATTTTTTATTCGTATAGCGAACATGGCACGTGTAGCGTTCTGTGTGGCCCCGGCATAAGTGTAGCACACAGCGACTGTAGAATAACTGACTGATGACCGGCTAAAATGTTGAATCGTTAAGTCGATAAGATAAGATAATCGGTGACGCAGCATTGTCGTACGTTATAATACTGCGCGTGTTTATCGAATCTAAAGATTAAATATAAATAATAAATAATACAAAGATACGAACTTGGAGGTATGTCATTTACATGACAGTAATGACAATAAATAATAGTATGATTTTTATCGAAAAAATTTGTTTTTTCTTTTTCCCGTCACCCCGTCACCACACCTTTTTCCCTTTTTTCATGTCACCCCGGTTAAACCACTGCAATAGGTAACCTGCAGACTTTTTGCCAATAATGGTAACTAATCACTACATACGAAATATTGAGGAACCATGGCTTGCATATAATTTGCAAAATGGTTTAGATGGAGAGAAAAATTGTATCTAAAGTATAAAAATAAATTGTGTTGGTAGCCACCCACATAGAAGCAGAAAAGGTTGGATATTGATGGTTACCTGGATATGGTCAAGGCTTTGAATAATGCATTCGTGATCTCGCTACTTCCATTTTTTGGATAATCTTCTCAACCGGTTCATCTAATCATCTGCATAAATGATGTATTGATGATGATGTATTGCCTTGCATATCTCAAAAGTGAGTGAATAAATGAATATGTTATCATATACAATGTGTGTATATGTATCAGTTTTTAAATATCTTTTTTTTTAAGTTTTTATTCTTAGGATTTAAAACAAGTAGAAGAATTTGCAAATGAGGTCCACCTGATGGTGTTATGCTTTGGGTTCTGAAATGTCCACCTTAATGCCTGTCAATTTAACTCAATAAAAATCTGTCAAGAACAGTGTAGGAAAACACAATGGTGGACGATACAAATGTATCAATTTGTCAGTTCATATTGTATAACAATATACTAATTTTGTGAATATTTTTTCAATTTATTTACAATACTTACAACTTTTTACCATTGTTGATTAAGTACAAATAGTAGTGATAAAAATAGAAAAATTATGCTATCAAATTCCAATTAAAATAACAAATAAAAACATTAGGTAAATGTATTTAGAAATGTGTCTTGCAATGTGGCTCATCATTTATCTGCTTATAAATTGAAAATTAAAACTGGGAGTTACATGAAATGAAAAGATCAAATTAATCAATTAGTAAGAAAAAAGAACTGAAAATAATAATTGATGATTTTAGAAATTTAAATAAAGTCCTTAAAGTGATTATTTAAATTTCTTGGCGCAATGCTAAGTCCTTGAAGTGATAGCATTGTGCCAAGTATATTTTGCGTTAGTAGAATCATTGATATATAATAGTATGATTGGCTGGGAAGGGGGAGTGGTGAATCTAACAAAAATATATCCCAATCACAAAAATATCAAAATCAAAACTGCTCAATAAAGTACAAAGATAATGAACAATCTATTTATTAAAAAGTACTACCACTAAACAAAATATGTATGAAAATAACTGTTATTTATATGAAAAGTCATAATTTACTACAGCAGGAATTGCAGGGTGCTAATACAATATATGCTTAATATTTTTTCTTATAAACAAATTTAAAAATAATTATTAATAGGAATTTTCTTATACTTAATCTGTCCTAAATTATGCAATATTGTAGTCTTATATTATGAATCTCCCAATTCAATTATTAAAAAATATATATATTATTTAATTGAAATCTCTGGATGAATTGATAATAGAATAGCCTAATAGTGTAAAAGTGAAATACTAATTTTGGAATTGGTCACTATTTATATACTTAATATTATACTGTAAATGTACTATTAATAATACAGTATATTTATGTACTTATAATGTTATTTAGAACTCCTGGGCCCCCACACGAGTTTTCTCAGTGGAGCCCACTTTTTCAAAAAAACAAAAATAAATAAATAATATATTTATAGACTAGTATTTTATTATAACTTCTTTCATTGATTATAAATACTAGTATTTATGATAATTGTTACTATTTAGTATAACAACATCCGTCATAACATTGGACATAAACTTTATAATTATTATTGTCGGTATCATAAATTAATTGTTTACAATCAACAACTGATTTAAAGATTTCAACGGATCAGGAAAAAAATTTAGAGTATCGAAAGTTAGTTACTTTGAAATTTGCCAATGTTATGGCATAAATCAATCAAATTTGTTTTAACGAGATTTAAAGGAAAATTTTAAATTTGAACCAACACACTAAATACATATTTATTTTTATTTAATAATATTTAAATACATAATAAAATCACTAAAAGCATTACAAATTTATAAAATATATCAGTCATGTATGTACATATAATATGAACAGTAATGTAAAGACTAAAGCATATTTATATAGTTTAAAATTTATCATCATTTAATAGTGATAATGTACTGCAATATATATGCATATTATAGAAAAACTTTGTAATTATTTTATTTTTATAAACCATGTACTTTTCACTGAGTAATAATGACTTATACATTAGCAGGCGTGTATCTTATCTTTAATAATAATTTAAAATTTGTAATATCAAACTCCAAAATTGTAAACATTTGTTACATCGCTTTGGCTATAAAATTGTATTATTTTGAGGGAACCAATAAACGTTTAATTTGATTTTCATGAAAGACATTTTCATTCATTATATCACGAGTGTGTGTGAATACATATGTAATTGTTAATTTTATTCAATGATAAACGGAGAATGTTATTTTTATTATGAAAAATAATATCTGTACCAAAATTATATATTATTTAGTTGTTTTTAAAGACAACTATATAAGTCCACGACTAAAAAAAAACACAAGGTAGCTATTTTTTTTCCCCATAAAATATCAAGTCTTTAAAGTATACCCGTGATTTTAAAAAAAATCTTGAGTATATGACATACATGAAGTAGACCCTAGGGAACATTACTGTCTATACCTAAATCTATAATTTTGGGTAACAATATATTTTAAATTTATCTATTTCCAGGTTAGGAAGTTTTTTTTATGAAATAAAATATTATAATTTATATTTGTATGTTTATTTTGATATTTTAAACATAAACTAAAAAGATATTTGATTTAAAACTTACAAATTTATTATTAATATTCAGAAAAAATAAACATTTTATAATTGAGTAGACTACTTTAAATACACATACCTGATAGTATTCTATACAGTAAATCAAATATTTAATCCTTTTTAAGTGTTTCTGTTAATGGTTTTGTTAACAATTCATCAATATCATTCTCTTCACGTAATATAAAAAAGTATATCATAAATATTATTACGCTTGCACTGACAACATGGGCTTCATACCATGGACCGAATTCTGCCTTACCTCCAACCCGAGAATATTGTGCCTTCCAATCACTTGCGGGACTATTTGTGAAATTCAAAGGCTTGTAAAGTTCTTCGTCAAGATCTCTGTTAGTCTTTGATTTATTTCGTATGGGAATTGAAGATATCCATAATTTATTTTCTCTAAAACAAATATTAACTAATTAGCTAAAATGTAGATGTTATGTATAAAGAACATTACTTCTGTTTCAATAAATTTAAACCTGTGTTGATTCTCGGGATAAAAGATCTGGTTAATTGTTTAAACATGATTGGAGGGTTCCGAAAAGAACTACTTTAATGTTTAAAAGAAAAATAAGTTTCTCAAAATCACGACCAGAACTCCAATTTATTATTAATTATTGCATGTCTTATCTTTAATTTTATTTAATTTTATCACTTTGTCCTTGTTAAACTCGAACAGATGTTTGTAGTATTTTTTTGATTGATAAATAATAAAATAATAGTAGAAACTGTAACTTGTAGATCGCGTTAGTCAAGGCATTAAGAACAGAGATAAAGACATAACAAAAAGTAAATTTGAGCGGATACTAATATACTCGATAAGTTATAGGTAATTTAGTATCCTTGTCTGAGTGTGATACACGAATTATATTTTATTATCATAATTCATGGTGTGACATAGACTAAAGGTAGGTAGTAGGTACTTACTTATTATTTTCAACGGACGACACAGATATTAAGTTCAAGGGTGCAAGTTTCTGCTAGGTAGAAATATTATTATTTGTTCATAGTTTTTATGGTTTTATGTGGATTAAAGTGATCAAGAAAAATAATTATGCATTATTTCTACCGAACTCCGCTCAGAATCGTTTTTCATTTGCAATAATAGAAAAAAAATAAACTATAATACGGACAATATTTTTGAGAGAGGGTATTGTTTTGAAATTTAAGAGGGGCATAGTAAAATGAACTTAATTCAAAAAGTTTCACCTGTAGAAAACCAAAAAACACGACAATTTTAAATAACAATAATACTATAAATAATTTTAAAAAAAATATCAGTAGGTATATCATAATATGTAAATTTTAAGTTTTATTTTGTTTTATTAAATTTATATGTAATTCAGTCTACAATTATATTTTCATTGTCTAACAAAATCGAAAGAAACAGAAATCGTTATTGCGTCAATATTCGCGTTTCCTTACTTTTTTCTAGTTTTCCCTCGGATTATTAAGAATATTGCAGGAAAAAAATATAAAATCACTTGTCCTCAATACACAAACCAAACAAAATGTTCTATATAGGATGGACATTTTGTGAATTTGATGACTGAAGCAAGATTTTCTGTAAAAAAATCAGTTTACAGATATAAATAAAAAACACATAGTAAAACTAATATTATATTTATCATTGTTCCGCTTAAAAGTCTAAAATTATTCTCCGCCACCTTCATCCCAACTAAGAATCGAAAACTATTAAAAGAAAAAAATCAAGTATACTATGTGAATCGGGGATAAAAAAAGCCCTTGACCAAAAAATAACCTAAGGAAAGAAAAGCCCCTACGTAGGAAAACTAAGCCTGAACGGAGGAAAAAAAAATAATATAGTTATTGGCATCTTGAGAAAAAAAACATTTCCCTGGGTGTTTTGTTAGGTTTAATGATATAACTTCCATCGCGTTAAAACAATGAGGTAATCGATGAACGAAAAAACCGTGTTGAACAGGATAATGTAACGTGGGTGTACTTCTGTTGGAAATCTATTCATATATATTCATTAATAATATGCTGTAGGTATTGGAAGGTAGGTACCGAATATATGTTATAACATTGTAGGTTTATTTGGACTAGGGGGGGTTTTTAAACAATAATTTTAGTATATTTGTCGTCGATTCACCCATAAAGGTTATTGTAAGAATATCCAATTGTAATGTTTGTAGCAGGTAAATATTAAATAAATACTTTTTCCTACGTCTGGGCTTTTTTTTTTTTTTGTTCCTAACACCATACTTTATACACCTGCTTAGTATTTCTATTATTTTAAAGAAAACTCCACGAACACTCATGACGAGGTGAGACGCATTTATGTCACACGTCACAAAAATAGTGGAAATACAAATAATTACAATACACAAATACAAATGGAATACAAAAACAGACGTCCCGCGGTATTGTGCGGAGTTGTAGTTTTATTATCTATAATAGTAGCGACCGAAACAGCTGTGGTACAGTGTTGCGGCAGCAGGGCATTTAGCCATGGGCGCACGGAACCGTGATAACGACGGGGAACGTTGGCGGATGAGAGCGAGAAAGAAAGAGAGTTTTTGGTCAAGCGAGAGCAACGGCGGGGTGTTAAAGAGAACGGCGGAGGCTCCTCCTCCTCCTTCGCAACTCTTTTGTCACACACACACACACACACACACACACGCGCGCGCACACACACACATACACAAACACGCACGCACGATTACACAAACGTTGAGCTGCTGTAACTACAGGAAGACAAGTCAACAAATAATCAACAATCAACATGGCCGCTGCTAACCATTGTCGTTGTGCTGGATGGACTGGACAATGATGACCGCCGCTGCTGCAGCCGTCTCGCGTTTCGCCAACGACACGTCGTCCGTCGTGCACTGCTGACCGCCGCTACCAAGCGCGCCGTCAAAGACGTCGTCGTCTTCGTTGTCGTCGCCGCCGCCGCCGCCGTCGTCTCCTCCTTCAACACTGCCGCCGCCGCCATCGCTCAGCACCACGTTTTGGGTGTATTAGATGATCAACGAGCGATGGAACTGAGGGTTGGCAATAAATACCGGCTGGGACGGAAAATCGGCAGCGGATCGTTCGGTGATATCTACCTGGGTAAGTCTCGTCTCTGGCTAAATCAGCGGGGTTCACGGCTGTAGTGATCTGTTGCGCAAACCTTCATAGTACTGTCATTAATAAATAGCCCTTCTGGTTTTTGGTCGCTACTTGGGACACTGATGGCTGTGAGTGTGACAAGTGCCCATTAGTGTAGTAGGTACTGCGACAATTGACGTGCAAACTTGAGTCACCGTTGTGTGTGATCAACGAATATTGTTATCGCATTTATATTGTGTTCAATTAACAGAGTTGATGTAATATAATATTATACTTAACTTTCACTAGATAAATATTATTAAGTTTAATGAAATCGATTAGGTATCTAAAACATAGGTATACCACCTAACAAATAACAGTGGTCAAATTCAAATATTGTGACTTATTCCTTAAAATAGTAATTTGACAGTTCCACCTGTGAACATTTATTTTGAACAAATAAATATATGTTGTACCTTACCTAGATAGTGGTTATCAATTTAAATAAATTAGTAAAAATTATATTATAGTTAGTATTAACATTAATTTAAATATACTTATTATTTAAATTATGTTGTTCATTGCACAGCATACAAAACTCAAAGAATATTCAAAGACCACATTCTCCTAATATAGGTACATATAATTTATATTTTTTATAAAATTAATATAATAAACACAAATTAACATTATCTTATTCAATGATTTCAGTTCCCTTATTATTGTTTTGTAATGTACAATATCTATCAATAGTAATCACAGTAGGTTCTATATCGGTTTTATTTCTTTAGAAGTATTATATAATATTAAAAACATAGCTGTTAGTATAGTTTTAATGTGTTTTAAAAATATATGCAAAATTATAACTATCTACTCAATAATAATAATAAAAAAAGTATAATCAAGGTAAATAACAGAGTAAATAAAAAACTTTCTATATATAGATAGAAATTACTTAGTCTATAACTATTAATAATGTAATAGGATTTACCAAGTATCTTTCTTTTATTATTTAATAATTTTAGTTGTTTTTATATTATAGTAATAACAATAATTTAAATATTTATTTTCTCGTAGGTACATAGAGAAAACAATTTTGAAACAATTAAACTATTTATGGATACCTAAATAGTACTATATTTTAATGTGAAAAAATCACTATCAGTACCATATTTAAATGTTGTCATGATGGGAGGGATATATTTCCAGAATATGCATTATCAAGGGTTTAGTTTCTCAGTCCCTCTCCCATTCAACACTGCCTCTCAAAAATTGTGACATTTTACATTGCTCCAATGGATTAATATTTTTCCATACAATTATTAGAGATCAATAAAATATATGTAGCAATTTTATTTTATTTTCTATAACAGTTTTTTTATTTTTATTTTAGGTACATTTCAAAGTTCAAATAACACTATAACACAAAATCTAATTTTCTGTTTTTTAAACATAGCTTATTGTTGACATTTTATTGTTTCTATACCATGACAATAGAAGCCATCCCATTTATAGTCAATAACAAAATTTACATATCTTGGATATTAAAAAAAATATATATATTTTAAAAGGAGGCTCTGAACTTTTTATAATACCCTGGATGATATATCCTCCTCTAAAATACACAATTCTATATTAAAGCCTTAAATTGTAATCTTATGTACTGGTTTATTTAAGAAAATATTTACCTAATCTTATATAAAATAAAAATTGTATATATTATTAGTTGAGTACATGTAAGAACAATAAAATTATATACAATATAATCCAAGGCACTATCTACTTACAAGATTCTGATTTAAATTTGAAGTAGGTGAGAATAATTTTAAGTCAATTTAATTAGTTGTTAGTGATTATCCTGCTCGAAGTTTTACTTGTCTTAGTAATACAACTACTACCAAATGATACAATGAATAATTAATATATTATATAAATTGTATATTATAAATTACACTTAATTTACATAAATACAATTAAATAAATTTGTAAACACAAAATTATAAATAAAATAATATCACCTAATAATCAAAACGATTTCTTATGTAAACCTAAATGAGTGTATGATATACTTAAATGTGTGTGTCAAGTAAAATATCAGTCGGTTCTTTCAAATTGCCAATGATAAGGGCGGTGTCGGTAGTGAATGATTGCAATTTATTATATAGTTATAAATTAAATTAATTTAAATTCATCTTATCACTGATCCATGAGTAACTTGATGTAATAATATTTAATTGTCAGGACATTTTTGAAGTTTGACACAAATTGAATATTTGACAAAAAAAAATTGCCGCATGATCAGACTTTAAGGATTACTTTGGTGACATAGATGTCATATTATAGTAGAAAAATGTATTATAATGCACTGCTGTATAAATTGTATTTCAATCATATATTATCGTAATGTTTTCTGTTTTTCATTTATTATATATTAATAAACAAAAAAAAACCAGTCAATATTTTGGAGACACGGGGAAACTTTAAATTGAATTTCTTTTATTTTTTTAGTTTTTTAATAATTCTACTTTTAAATTTTCATTTAAAAAGGGGAAATTAAATTGACACGAACAACTCTGGGTTCAGACTGCATTGTGTATGGTACATTTATTATAATTTTAGTTACTATTAATTATGTATTTGTAATATATATTTTATCAAATAGAATTAAAATTGCTTCTTGTATAGTTGACTTAATAGTAATTATTTTTGTTTTTATCAATACAAATATTTAATTGAATGGATAATATAGTAACGCAAAAGCTTAATTATAAGATATACAAATTTTAATTTTTTTTATTGTTAAACTCAAACCTCACAGTATTTTTCTGTTATTACAGGTACAAATATTTCTACTGGAGAAGAAGTAGCTATAAAATTAGAATGTATAAAAACGCGACATCCTCAATTGCATATAGAATCCAAAATTTACAAAATGCTCTCGAGAGCACGTAAGTTAAAATTAAATATTTTGTATTTTCACCAATATTTTATGTTATGATGTCTATTATTTAGCCGGAATACCTATAATAAAATGGTGTGGTTCCGAGGGCGATTACAACGTTATGGTAATGGAATTATTAGGACCATCATTAGAGGATCTGTTCAATTTTTGTTCCAGACGATTTTCAATAAAAACAGTGCTACTATTAGCTGACCAATTGGTAAGAACTATTATGTTTTTGTCGGAGATTACTTGAAAAGTTTTTTTTTTTTGTGTGTGTTTAAACAATTTTATAAGCCAATTTAATTATTTAAATCATTTTAATTTTTTTTTAAATAATTTATTTATGCTTTATACTAATATTAGTGTAAAATATTTTTTTTATTAACTTATGTTAATTTATCTTTTTTCTAAATTAAGTTATGATTTTTATTTAAAATTAAAAATAATATAAAACATGGCCATATGTTTTATTTCAATAACATGGTTAATTTGTTCGGCTCATAATCCCCGCATAATTAGATTTATTTTAACTTTAATTATAAATATATAATTTAAAAAAGTAGTATTTCTTAAAATTTTGTTTTATGTGCTTCAGTGATTTGTTTTTATACTTCTATTATACTATTTAAAATTGGCCCTGAATATTAATTTAATCATTTAAATAATAATATCTAATAATCTTTTGTTTTTTAGCTGGATAGAATAGAATATATTCATAGTAAAAACTTCATACACAGGGATATAAAACCAGATAATTTTCTAATGGGTTTGGGAAAACGTGGAAATCTGGTGTACATTATAGATTTTGGACTTGCAAAGAAATATTGTGATAGCAGGACCAATGAACACATAATGTATCGAGAGAACAAAAATCTCACTGGAACTGCTCGTTATGCTTCCATAAATACTCATTTAGGAATAGGTAATTAATATCAAATTTGTTGTTTAATTAAATATAGGGATATATTTATTTGTTTAGAACAAAGTCGAAGAGACGATCTAGAGTCTCTAGGTTATGTGTTAATGTACTTTAATCGTGGTTCTTTGCCATGGCAAGGTTTAAAAGCGGCCACTAAACGACAAAAATATGAACGTATCAGTGAAAAAAAAATTGTAACTTCATTTGAAGATTTATGCAAAGGATATCCAAGTAAAAATTGTATAACCTAAGCGCAAATTTAAGTTAATTAAAAATTTATGTCTAGATGAATTTTTAACATATTTGTTGTACTGCCGTGCATTGAGATTTACCGAAAAACCGGATTTTACCTATTTAAGGCAATTATTTAGGCAATTATTCCATCGTCAAGGTTTCACATATGATTATATTTTTGATTGGAATATGCTTAAATTTGTGAGTGTTTTGTTTATAAATTATTGTACATGTATTGCAAGTGTTTAATGATAAAAATATTTTAGGGTGCAAATGGTGGTGCCCGGTGTAGTGGATCTGACGATCAAAAGAATGCCTCCCATCAAGATAGACGTGCAATGCAAGATAGTAGTTCTCCTGCTACTAATGTTGCACCACTAAATAGTCGGGCCCAAGCTGATCAGAGTGGTATAAAGAATTATTTGTCCAAAGTTCCTTTGGTACCAATGGATAACTGTTCAGGTAAGATATTCTATCAATAACTTATTTTCAATTATTATGGAATAATTTAATTTAAACGTGTTTTCTTACAAAATATTTTAGGGGGTGGTGTTATCCAACCATTACAATCAAGATTACGTTATAGTGCTGATCCTGGTTCTGCAAGACCAGTAAGAACACAAACTCGAAGTTCAGCAATGGCAACATCTGATTCACCATCTGTTACTCAGCCTTTGCAAACCAAGTCAGTATCTGTGACCAGACGCAATCGCCATCAAACTTAATTCTAACAAATCCTAAACATGTTTTTCTCATAACACCAGCTAACATTTTTTAAAAAAAAATAAAGTTAATTTTTAATTTATTTTTATACACCAACAAAAAAAAATATGTTGAAAATATCATATTTTTTTTATTATTATTATTTTTTTGTTAATGACACTCATTGTTGCATTTATTTTCACAATCTTGCACCAAATATCAGCATGGGGATTGTTATATTTTGCTTACATTTTATATGAAAGACTATGGATAAACTTAACCATGGTTGAAAATTTATTAATAAGAATGATTAATATTTCTGACATGCTTGTGTATATGTAAAATCAAATTATCCATCAACTCAAATATTAATGCATGCCTCATGTTAATAATTTTGATTTTGTATAGGGCATAACAAAAAAAGTATTCTTTTGTAAATAAAAACTATTAATACATTTTTTTGTATGTAATTCTGGTGGGAGTATATTAACTAATTTCATTTAAACATCAAATTTTACATTTTCAAACATTTTTTTCTTTATTGTTTGAAATTGTTAATTTGAGTGTTAATTATTTATTTTTTATTTGTACATAAACCTGTATCATATATAACTATAAATCTTGATACTCTTTTTGTAATTTTTTTTAAGGGTTACTACAATAATTCTTAACTCATTTCAAAATATATACACTATTGAATTTTAAATTTTTTTAACATGTGTTGCCTATAGCTTCCATGTCCTATCTAACATATTAATATTTCAACGTCAAGAATTTATGTAAGAACTTTTCTTTTCTTTGTTTTGGAAGCGTCTCCGGTCCAATCATACCACCTGCGTGAGCCCCAATGCGGGTCAAAGCACTGGATAGAACGCCAATCACGCACGAGCATAAATAAACTATTGTGTTTAAATTATGTAAATAGCCTAGCCTATTTTTATTATTACTATTATTTTTTTTTTTAATTATTTTGATTAAGATATAATTAAGTATTTTTTATGTAATTCAAATAAAATACATTAATTGAAATCTAACAACCATTTTCAACAAAAGTTAAAAGAAAAATATTAATACCTATTTAACAAAAAATAATATGGGCAATAAAACAATTTTACACGATTGTTCTGAGCTTTTATTTTCAAAAAAAAATTATACAAGTTTATTATCTAGGTATGAAACCTGAACCATTACCTCTATAGATATGTACAATAAAATTACTAATATATATTTTGGTTTAATAATTATAAATCTTTGTATCTCTCATTAATTTTTATATTGAAATATAAATATTTTAAGTTTTTTCGCTGTTTTATTATCAAATTTTACTTATACAATTTTTTATTAGTGCCCTTTTTAATTATTATTTTTACTATTGTCACTATCAAATTATATCTACAATTTGTTTTCCATTATGCTTGGTTAACATTGGGAATACATATTGTTAAGATACATTCAATTTAATTATTATATACCTTGCTTGTATAGTTAAAATTTAATTTAGCTTCTTTTGGTTGTGTATTTTTAAAAAGTTAAACAAACCAATGTGAATTTTATTTATTATATAATTACATTAATTTACAATAATTAGTTTTTTTATATGCTTTATCATTCAATAATCAGCCCCCCTCCAATATACTAGTTTATTTCTATCTACAGAGTTGACCACGGACTTAGAACGTGGGTTGATATCGGTATGGCGAGAGGTATAGGTCTGCTAATGTTTTCTCCTCTGTTATCTTAAAACTGGAATTTATTATATATTAATAATAGTATTACCGGGGGTTTAATTTTTTTGTTAAATTTTTTACCGTGATATATTATTTACATTAGAATTGTTAGATGATATTGTAAATAGTTCGCATTGCGACCTTCTTCACTTACCTCTTGTATGTCAATTGAGTTCCACTTTTAAACTGCTCGATAATATTATATTAAATATTAGTCTATACTAGCAAATCCTCATACAAATGTATTTACATTAAAATATTTCTTTTAATATAATAATTTTTTTTGAAAGCAATATAGGTACCAATATGACATATTTTTGAAGATTTTTAATCTATTGACTGATATTTGTACTAGTAATATTATTTGTTCAAATTAATTTCTCAACTTATGATTAAGACTAAACTTTGATTTAAAAAAAATAATACATAACCAAAAACCTGTGATGAGATTGGTCTTCTTATAAAAATGGTAAATTTGATTTTAAAACGAAAAGTGAGTGTATATACAACATTTATTCTTTCAAATAAAAATTGAGGTCTAAAATCGGTTTATGTTTTGCTTTTAAAAAATAACATATTTATTATTTGTATCAAACTAAAAAAAAAAAAATTGCATTATAATAAAATATTAACATCAGAGTTAATGGCTTTTATTATATAATTTCAATTTTTTTACTTTAATTATTTGCTGCATTAATATTATTACAGTAAGTACAATATTGTCCTTGTTTATTTGATTAGATTAAAATTTGTTACAATCATGCTTTAGCATATTATATTTAACTTACGTTTGCTGGCTTATAATGAATTTTAGTTTTCAAAACAATTTTTAGTTTTTTCACAGTTATTAATAAAACAAAAATATAGTAATAAACTACTATTTATATGATATGAATGCTTTCAGTAATTTTTAATGGGAATTTTGGTGTCTATATATATTTATTTTATCTTTTTATTTGTAATATAAATATGTTTGTCTAGTGGACGATGGAGATAACTCAATTTCTATAATTTAGAAAAGGAAGATGGGCAATCAACCAACAACTAAAATACTGACATAATAAATATAATAAATAACTAAAAAAAAAAAATGTATTATGATATATCTAATATTATGTACAAGGACAATTTAATATTACTATATACTACCATTATATTAGATTGTTAGAAATAGTATACCTACTTGATTTATTCGACCTTTAAGTGTAGATGCAGAGGAGTAGCTAAGGGTTATACTATACTGAATATGACGGCTATTGACAGGTATTTTTAATATTTTCTTTGTTACCTTATGTTGCTTGGCATATTTATCTATGTATTTTTTAATTAACGTTAACAGAAAAGCATGTAATTGGGCCCACTCTTCCATTGAGAAATCCTTGTTATATCATTGGGCCAATATTTCTCAATACAACAATCGTGGTTCAAATTTATTTCTAAAAAAAACCTTGTTTAATCTTATTGTTGCCATGAATCACACTCATTCGCCACTAGAATATCTGTATTTCTCACACTAGCCATATTTTATTTTATTATTTTGTCAGTTTTATTGGTTTTCCCCATCAGTTGATTGTCTTATCGGTGTTTTGAGTGTCAGTGGACATTGGTCAGAACTATAAAAAAGTTAATGATAATTTTTAAAAATATAAAATTAGTCAATTATATAATCTTTTGAACCAATTGTCAGTATTTTATAAACTTATATCCTTGCCCCCTTGACTAGTTTTTAATTGCAAAAACAGAATTTTTTATTTTCTTGTTTATACAAAATAATAATACTTTGTAATGTATAGAAATTTCAATGATCAGTTTATAAATAATATGATGATCATATTTTAATTACTTTTGTATATATAATTGGACCATTTGATTAGAATTACTTAGACTAATAATTAATAAATAATGTATTACATCATTATGTTTTATTGTTAAATTTATTAAAATTTTGTAATTCTAACTTTAAGATATTTGCAGAAATAGGTACTACATGTATGATTATTTTTCTTTTCCATTATTAAAAATTCATTTTTTCCATATTTCTATGTATTAAACTTATTGCCAGATGTATATTATATATATATATATATATATATATATATTTTTTTTTTTGTAAAAGAAATTATTGCAAATTATTATACTGTAATTTTGTAATATAAATTTGTTTATATGATATTAACAAATCTTTTTTTCCTTAATACATCTCTATACAGTCATATAGTTATTAACGTGTTATGTGTTTTTGAAATAATAAAATCATTTTTTATACCTATACCTATGATTAATAATTATGATTTGAAAATTTAAACTACTAAATTATGTTTATTATACATATATATATACAAAGCTCTTAAGAAAAAGAGTAACGTTTTTTTATTATATTAACTTATAAGAACACTTAATTAGCATTTTTGGCAGATGTGTTGGCCATTTTTAGTCGTTATCAACAAATTATTCAAAGTGATAAAACAATGGTTTTGGATCATGTTAAACATACTGAGTCAGTTGTAACAAAATTAAATTAAGTTCAATTAATTTAGTTGATGGTTGGGTAGGTGTACTCGAAGATGAACTGTTGTAACTGATGAAAATATTGATGATAAAGTCTAAGGTTAGGTACTACGAGTTTAAAATATTACTATTTTATTTACTCGTGTTAACACAGCTATATTTATAGTTGCAAAACCTCACAGCGCTGACGTTGAAAGATTAATAAGTAAAAGCAATATTCTTAATAAATAAATCGTCAAAGTTTGCACTTAGAAACGGAAAATGAATATATTTTTAATAATTTAAACATTCCTGTTTTTCGAAATTAGGACTAAGACCAGCAATACAGATATAGTTAAACCAAAATTAACGCCGCATTAAAAACATACCTAAAGCCAATGGTTTAATGGGATATTTGTAGAAGCAACAAAAACAAAAATCTGAAGAGCAAACTAAAAAAAAATTTAAAAAAGAACGTTCTAACATAGTGTTAAGTATATAAATATTATGAAAAAAGTAAAGAGGGCATTAATTATAATAAAATATTTTAAACGCGATGTATATTGATTTGATTTCTTAAATTTTAAATTATCACACCTTAAAACTAAAAATGTTATAATTTTTAATTATAATTTGAAATCATATTTCGAGATTATAATTCTATTCTGATTCAGGCTTATTTAAACAAAATTCGTAGTTGATAAAAATCTTTAAAATAAGTTCTGGACTGTATAGTATATATTCCGTATAGGTGGTACCATGGGTTAGGTTAGGTTAGATAGGTATAGTAATTAATATTATATCTTTAATCTTGATCGGTTGCGGGGCGAAGTATATTTTAATTATGAATCACCGATTTTCCACCCACCCGCCGCTACAAAAAAAATCGCTTTATCCTATTCCAAATTTATTGACATTTGTTAAATTTCAATAAAATCCGTCAAATTTATCAAATTTCTGTGGTGTAAAATTCGTTCAATGACTTGTTTTGTAAAAATAATAATTTTTGTTATATTTTTGAACATCCACTCTTTTTTTGAATCGCGTAAATTAAATATCTTCTTCACGCCGCCACTGATCGTGACAGATGCATTGCTTTGTCACAGTGATTATCATATTATAGAATAGTGAAAACCACGATTAAAGAAATACTTTAATCCTGGTATAAACAAATGCTCTCAATTTTCTATCATGTTAGATCGCAAAACTATAATGGTCTCAATGACCTATTACTTTATGGGGCCATGGGAATACCTAACAAGTACAAAAGTGTGAGGTTAGGTTAGGTTAGATTAGATTAGGTAATGAGATGGCGGTAAAGTTATTTAATATTAAGCATTGCGGCGAAAAAACAAGGAAAACTAAAAAGCTGCGGAATAAATTTGGAAAACTCCATTACTTTCCGATACACTAATTCGTAGAAAAAGTATCAAGTTTTCTTGTTTTTTTAATAACCCTTTTCTCCTTTTCTTTTTGCTCTTCTCGCAGTTTTCCGTACTTTGCGCCACGTTTTCTCGATCTACCATCCCCTCCCTCTCTATCGCTAAAGTCTGTGCATGGCCATGTTGTTCTAGAATTCTAGATGGAGTTATAGAAAGTTTTAACGAGAAAATATATGATGAACAGTAATAGTTTAAATATTATAAGTACCTATATCTACATATATATAAATAGGTAATGATATCATTTAAATGTCATTTAAATTTCAAGAGCAATTCGTTTTGCACGATTTTCATTGATCCGTCTTGAAAAGTCACACGGATTTTCAAAAACCATAAATCGATGCCTACAGTAAACAATTGGAGAAAAAAAAAATTACCTATGAGGCAATAATAATGATATTACACAACACACATTTTTCAACGCTTATGGGCGCACGTCTAGGTTATAATATAGGTACAGGTACTTATACCCATGTGTATTCTCGGTTCTCTTTCTGTCAAACTGATTTCTTTTGAAAAGCCACGGTACGTTTTCACGAATTTTAAACACGTCGTGGGTCTATACAATTTCTTTCATAACATTGAACATGATATGTATTATTATTATGTTAAAAACGATAAATTTAGAATTTCTTTAGTAAATACAACCTTCCTACAGGTACCTAAGTAATATTGTTTGTATAATCCCGCGTAATAATGTATTACACAATGACGTATGTAGGAATTTGTCTTGGATGAAATTCAAATAGTTGCCCAATAAAAGAGCCGTTAGGGACTTCGTTCTCCACAATCCTAACTTCTACATTTAAATATATTGCAGCAGTTAAATGAATTCAACCTAACCTAACCTTAGTACCTAACCTTGTGTGGTTATAATTTAGATTATTATAGATATTATAAATTTATAACTAGTCAATATATTGCGAGCATATTTAGACCCTATATGAAGTAAAGTATTGAACATATAGTCCAAAATTAATACCCCAACACCCCTCTCCCTTTTCGCCACACTTGTAATGAACGTGGTTGTTTAGTCATTGTTTCGTGTAATTGTTTACGATATGATATCGTATACCAGGTGATTCATTTAAGTGGGTTCTCTCATTATCTCGGAAAGTATTAACTTTTTCTGGAATTTGTTTTCTAGAACATTTAAGAAACAAGCTGCTCCACAATTTTATATTTATATTAATTTTTGTTACCCTTATTTTTGGTGGTGAAACCACTGCCTACTTTTGATTTTCAAATGGCAACCTATATTAAAAAGCCCATAATAGACGGAGTATTAATTAAAATAGATTTCAACGTTGAAAATTTTGATTTCTATAAAGTCGACGAGATATCCCATTTTAAAATTTAAATTGGAGGAGAGTAGTGGTGCATTATTAACACGCCGCTCGCCGCATCGCCACGCAAATGATACTCCACTACTCTATAGGTATTATTATATTTTATACATAAGTACTTACCTACGTATAAAGTATAATAATGAATTTCGCGTAGGTAAGTAGATAATTCGTATAGTTAGCATTAAATTCTGTGCCTACATAAATGTTCTGTAAATCCCCACAGTGAAAGTTGGAGTCCACATTTGCATTCAAGTTCAAATACATTTACAAGTATATATATCCTGTATCATTATCATAAGTTATTTATATATTCAATAATTGACAATTGTGAAATTGAAAAAAAAACTGTTAACGGATAAATCGTTTTGTACAAGCAAAAGTACTTGGGCAATAGATTTAAAAAATTGAGAGGAGAATTCCTCACAGGGAAAAAAAACGACATTCTTAATCACCAACTAGGATCTAGATTAACAAAAAGAGAATCTTGTTTTTGTATTGGAACAATATTTTTAATAGAAAACATAGTTTGCAAAAATTAAAAACAATGAAATCGATAACATCGTGGCGTGTTTTAAATATTTGCCGTTTTTTTCGGGTTTTTTTTTCAATATTATAAAAACCTCTTGAAAAATCAAAAAACCTGATCTAACCTTTCTAATGAACTAACTAGATAACATTTTCATTTAGAAAAAGTGCTACACTTGTTATTTTGAAGCAAG